TTGTTGATTGCGCTTATTGGTTAGCAGGATAATCAAAAGTGCAACTTTTTCAACTGTGCTGCAGACCGCATGAAAGTTTAATTACAAATTGCACAGTTTTTGGCCAGAGCCAAACACCAAAACTGTGGCCCATGTGCGTGGATGGCGAACAGGAGCGAACAGGAGCGATCAGGCCACATTTAAGAGTGAATTTAAGCTGGGTCATAATTAAACAGAGGCAGCTGGGTAAGTTTTAAATGCGCCTTCTTAATATTACCTGGCTCCTAATCAGGCTCTCTTTACACCTGCATAAGCAGCGAGGGGTCGTTGACGAGGGCGTGGGCGAGGGCGAGGGGGGGAGCGCCTCATTAAAAATAACAGTGTGCTGCAGTGCAAACAAGCCGCTCGTCTTGCAGTTGTAAGAACAATTTTTATATAATTTTCTTGCACTCGCTTTATGCAAGCTAATCCTTTTAGGAGGTGGTCGGGTCTTGAGGCGCTAACTTAATTTGCTTGCAGCATAATTGCAGCAGCAGGAGTAGCAGCAGCAACTGACTGAGTTGTTAGTCAAAGTTTTGTACGTCTAATTGTAGGCGTCATTATTTGACTTGGCTAAGGGCTTGCCAAGCTTGCCAAGCTTTCCGAGGGTCCCAGCAGTGTTCAACGCACCGCACCGCAGCCATCCATCCATCCATCCATTCGTCCATTCGTCCTCCATATCCATCTCTCTTCTCTTACTATCTGTGGCAAACAATTACAATAATTATAATTTAAATTAAAGCTCATCTAGTCGTGTCGCTTTGGCTTTAACGTTTCATTTAATATTTAGCCGAAATGTAGTCGAGCCCATAAATCAATGCCAAACAACAGGCTTGAGCTGGGGGCGTGCGAGTGTTGTACACCCATATGAATACTCAAGTGTCTCGACGCAACAAATGGGACAAATTTCCATTTCTATCCAATGCTGCATAAATGGCACATAATTTACGATACCGTTATGTGGCAGCAGAGCAGCAGCGCAGCAGCGGGGCTGAGCTGCTCAGCTAACCAAACATGCAGCAAACCCGTCCAAAATGCTGCTAACAATATTAGTTAGCGTGTGGCAGCAGCAGCAACACCAACAACAACAACAACAACAAGTGCTCCGGCCAAAGTTTACATTTATGTGTGTGTATGTGTGTGAGTGTGTGTACGGCCGGCGTCAATGTGTGAAGTAATTAATTACAAAGCAACTGATGTGAATCTCTGTGTGTGTGCGTGTGTGTGTACGTCTGCCTGTTCGTGCGCCTGTGTGTGTGTGCTGTAAGTTTTCGTGTGCTTGCGTATTGGATTATGATGCATGATCATGTATATGTTGCGCATTGTCACACGCACACTTGCCCACAGCACGCACACACTGGGGACTGTAGCGTTATCTAGGTTTAGGTATAGATGTAAGCTGTGACCGAAATGGGATTGATTTACACATCAGGTGAGAAATGAACGCGTCGGAGAGCCCAGATGCATTTCATTAATTATCAGCTTGAGGCGGAGCATTTTTTAATCATTTTCCGTACTCCCCTCTCTCTCTCTCCGACTCCGTTAAAACTTAAAGCTTTCCGCATTTAATATTATATTGGTCACAGATTGCTTTACTTATATTTTTCTCTCTCATCAAATCTTTATTTGCACAGCTTTAGGGATTTTCTTTTACTGTAGCTGGAGCTGAAAAGCTGCTTTAAAGTAAAGCCTATCTTACTTCTCATTCTTCTGTACTTTACTTCGTATGCAAAACATTTCAAGATTAAAGCTTCAAATCGGCTTTAAGTATAAGCTAGCAGAGCGATTGTGTGCGACAAAAGTAAAGGGATTTCGGCAAAGATTGTGAAGCATATATGTTCTTGAGCAATATGAAACAAATACAGCAAAAACTTCCCAGATCAAGAAATTATACATTTTAGCTAACATAAAAACAACCTGGCCTGGTAAACAAACCCATTTTTATTAGCAATATATTCAGCTGGTCTACCTGCTGTTGTCTTTATATTCCTAAGCCATAGCCGAGAGCCATATCTGAGCGATAAAAGTGGAGTTAAGTACTATCAGGAATTATATTCTCTAAGACAGCTACTCAATACTCGTTGTCATTAATCCAAAGTAAAATGAAAATTTGGATTTACTATCTTATCAGTTATTTACAGTTGAGGGGTTCTTAGCGGTATTTCTCATTTGTATTCATGAATCTCGTAGCTGACATCAATTGGAATCTTATTTGGTACTTGAAAAGTATTTCTCAAGTAAAAGTTGGCAAGAAAAATAAACGGATGTGTAATTAATAAGTTGATATAATGCAATCGCATTATGCTTAAATCAATTCCATTATATCAATGGAGGACAGAGCACAGTCTGGGGCACACAAACATATCTCATTAGCACGACAACTGTGGGCGTTGTCTTTTTCGAGTGCTAATTATATTCATCAGTGTCATGAGCAATTCGATTTAAAATGGCGGCTGTGGGTTTGAAAGATATTTATGAAAGCCACACACGTGATATACGCACAAACACACACACCAGCACACCCACGCACATACATGCACATGAACTCGGCTTGAAAAAATAAATAAAAAGTCGTCACGGCTGCGTATCGCTGCGTGCGGGTCTCTTGGCAGCGGGCAGCGAATAGCTGCGGGCGTCTGCACCGTGTGTGTATGTGTGTGTGCGTGTGTGTGAGGCACATTTAAATTAATCACAGTAAAAGTGAATTGCCCAAAACAATGTAATATCCCGTTCAAGGGCCGCTGGGAGCTGTGCGGGGCAAAGTGTGTCAAACAAACAAAAATCTGTAAATGCTAGCAAAACCCCAAGCCCCAGAGCCTAGGCCTGAGTCCGTGACGAGGCCAAAACACAACTGTCACTGTATGTGTGTTAGTTCATGCATGCTAGCCGTATGCGTGCGTGTGTGTGTGTGTGTGTGTGTGTGTGTGCGTGCGGTTGCTCAAATTAAAACAAAGTGTCGTGCGTTTGATGAAAATGTAACGCGCTTTGGTGCTGCCAATGCCAATGCGAGCGTCGCAGTCGGCGTCGCAGTCGGCGTCGCACATAAATGCTAATTGGCTTAAATGTGCGTGTGCACATGTGTGTGTGCGAGTGTGTGCGAGTGGCTGTAAATGTGTATGGGCGTGTGCTGCTCGTCCCTTGGGTAAGCTTTTTCCATAAGCGCCGCCGGTGGCGACTGCGGCTGCCTCCACATTTTCAGGTGTTCAAACTAAAACATTTTATAGTTTGGTTAATTGTCAAAGCTGTGCGGCAGCCAAAAAATACCAACAAAAAAGACGGCTGAGCGGGCATGCGGCAGACCGGGGTTGCCCCAAACCTTTTATGACTTAATTATTCGTTGGTTTCTGTGGCAGCCTGCGTGGTTATTGAGTCTATGGAACAGCATGAAACTGATACAAAGAAGCGGGCAGACAGACAGACAGATAGAAAGGGCGGCCGCACTAGCTATTGTTGAGAGCGTGCAGGGTTTGCTTTGCGTGACACGATGATGACACGAGATGAGGCATTAGATATACGAAATATTGCATTGACTAACTGAGTTATATAGAGGTGAGATCTAGGTATATATATCTTGGTATTGATCTAGGAAAATTTGTATTTGGATTGGAATATAAAATGTTATAAAAAAAATGTTTTTAAAATTTTGAATAAATTCAAAGAAAAATTTTTATATAAATTTAAATACTAAAATATAAATGATATATTTATTTAATATAAAATAAAAGCAAATAAATGAAACTATTTAACAAAGAAATAAGTAATAAACTTGTTCGACATAATTTTAAATTACTGAAAGATACAAATATTTTTAAAAATTTATTGGATTTGATTGTTGATTACAAATGTACAAATTATTAAATGCAGATGTTCCATTTATTTACTCACATGTAATACAAATCATAAGCAATAATAAAATTTTGTTGGTTTATTTTTATAAAATAAAACATCAGAAGTAAAATTACAAGTAGTTTAAAATATATATAAATAATTCAAAATAACAATTGTTTGTCTAGATTTAAGTATTTTTAAAATTTTCATATACTACTCTTATCAAGATTGTGCGTCGTCTCACTTAAACTCTCATATAAGAAAGTACTCAGCACGAGGCCAGCTCCATGCAGAACTATGAGAGTCGACGGCAAGTGGCATAAAAAGAACTGAGCGAAAGTGCACATAAAACAGAGCAAGAAGCGTAAAAATTGTTTTGTTCGAACGGGGAGCGGAGAGAACGGAGGGTGGAGAATGGGAGATGGAGGGGTTACTACCACTGCCACACACCCTGGTAGCTTGAGTTGTTTAGTAAAAATTGAAAACAAGTGAAATAAAGTGATTCGGCGCTGGAGATTTTGTGCGTACGCGTGCGTTTTCTATTCAGCGTTGAGAGTGGAGAGAGTCTTTGGCCTTTTGTGTGGCTGCAATTCGATGGATTCTTTTATGTTTATTTGCCTTCACTCCATTACGACTTGATGCTCTTTAGCAGACAATCAACATTGTTGCTGCTGTTGTAGTTGTTGTTGTGGCTGTTATTGTGGTGCCTTCTTCATCTTGGCATTCTTGGCAGTGGAGGGAGTTGTTGCCCGTGCAAAAAATGCAAATTACGAGCGAAATGACTGAATGAATGATTGTCATGGCGAGCTGTGAGGGCTTTTTGTTCCTGGGAGTTTTGAAGCGTTCGCTGATAAATCGCGAACGCTTGGCCAGGCTTACGGCTAAACCCGCGCCATATATGCCATAATTTATGCAAATTAATTTATAAAAAAAAAAAAAAAAACAGCAAATAAAGTTAGCGCCTGGCATTGCCATTGCCATAGACATATTTCACGCAAGTGCGACAATTTTCACGCTTATGGCCAGTGGGAAGTACATAAATATAGTGCGCCTTAAAGTAGACTCATTTATATGGCTTTATGCGCAATTTCAGGCGCTGACATTTATGATGTATTGTTATATATGACTTGACATACACACACACATATATACGTATATTTCTACGTATACGTACGTGTGTACTTGTGTGTGAGTGTGTGTAGCCATAGCAACTGACAGGCATCTGACGAATGGCTCACTGACTACTTGGCCGACTAACTTGGCCGCTGGGCACAGACATTTTTTGTGTGATATTTACGTGTTTCGTCAAATTTAGTTAAATGCGTCTAGTCAGTAGTCACCAGTAGGCGGCATCTTAAATTAAAAAACCAAAATGAAAAAAAATGTTCATCATATATCTGGGTTCATTTTCATTTCCAACGAATCTCGTCAGTGAGAAGCTATAACGCATTCCAACAAAAATATATAAATTACAACAAAATAAATTCAAAATGCCTGAGCAGCCAAAAAAGTCGAATGCGAAGCCAGCACCAGTGAGCAAGACCAGCAAGGATACCAAAGATACAAAGCCGAAGCCAGCGCCGCCAGTCGTACGTAATCCGCAGCATAACACACACGATCGGGTGAGAATATTTAGCAGAATATATAGCATATATCATAAATGAAGGTCAACTGAAACTTCCTTGCAGATATGGAAGATCATGAAAATGTGACTTAGACATCATAGAGCAGCATACGGCGTATATCATTTTATGAACAGGAACGAAATCTCTTGATATGTTAAAATCTATTTCACACAACTGGATTTTTAAGATATTAAATATGAATTGCCGTTAGAAACTGTGTGTCTTTCAAAGCGCTGAATAAAGCGCAAATGTCCCAAAGTACTCTTATATTTCCCAACAGTCCATTGGAAGGCCCACGCAGCGCATGCGCCTGCCTCAAAGAGAATTGTTTTCTTGGGAAATTCTCTCTTTGATAGCAGCGCCCTGCTAAGCATAGTGTGTTATGATTGTAGCCCGAGCTTAGTTTAACAAATGCTTACTACACTTATATTACGAGGCATCATAATTAGGCTTTAGTCTGAGCGCAAGGCAAAGGAGACAAAATTAGTTTTACGTCTAATTTGTTTTAATGCTAATAAGCACTTGAGCTAGCTGCTGTCTCTAATGCGCTAGTCAAGCTATGTAAAACACAAAGTAGCAAAGCACTTGAACTATTTATTTGTATTTGCATTTACATTTGCATTCGCATAGACTCAAGTGCTGTAAGAATTCCGAGCTCAAAAAAGAAAAAAAAACAAAAAAAAAAAAAAAAAAAAAAAGGAAAATGAAGGCAAACAAACAGCCAAGCAGAGCTAAAATAAAAGTGCTTGGGATAGGCCCACTTCTGGGCGCCTCAAGCATCATCAAGTCAATGCAATTTAAACCAAAACAAACTCAAATGCCGAGCCACAGGCCGCAAGCCGTCTGACGAGCGCTGTGCCGTGTGCGTCCCAAAAAAATTTTACTTTCATTCGGGAAAATTGAGTGAAAACGATGGTCGTGCGGCCGAGCCGAGCCGAAACGCAAATATCCCCGTCGCAGGCCAACGCGAGCTGCGAGGATATTTTGTGGCTCGTGCCAGTTTTTGCCATTGGCACTGCTCAGTTTCGTATTCGTGTCGGAACGTGGCGCTACATACCGTGCTCAAGGATACGCGGCGAACAAGACCAGGACTCAAACGATAGTTCAACCGCAATAAGGACACAACCCGACTTAACTGTTCGACGAGATCAGAGTGTGCTGGTGTGCGCGAGTGTTTACTGTGTGTCCGTGTGCGTATGCGTGTGCGTGTGTCTGTGGGTGTGGGTGTGTGCGATTCGTTACATTTTATTAGCGCGTGCACGAAATACAATAAATGAAAAATTAATTATTTATTTCAATTTCACAGTTATGCATAAACTGTGCTGTCGTTGCTTTTAACGCTGATTGAAATGTACCACTTGCTTCGTCGCATTTATATATCTTATTTCTTGTTGAAATCCGTTTTTGTACTCATTGAGACCATCAACCAGAAGCTGTGGCAGCAATACCAAAACCAACTACACGAACTACTGCAGCAGCTACAAGAAATGCAGCACGGGCATACGGCCTTTGGCTCGACCCGGCTTAGCGGTTAACTGAGTCCTTGCTGCGGCCGTGCGTGCGTATGACTTTATTAAAATTGTTAATTCACAACGTCGCCAACAACAACAACAGCAACAACAACAACAGCAACAACAGCAACAACAACAAAATAAGTATAGTAAAGCGCGCGTGTTCAGTTCGCAGGCATTTTACACGTTGTTTGTAGACTGTTCTTACTTTCACTTGCCATAAATATCACATACGTCGTGTTCATTGTGTTTTTTCTTATCGCGAAAAGTATATATATATATATATATATAAATTTATGAATATACATATACATATATTTAAGTATATACGTGTATAATTATGTGTGTGCCCGGCATTTGGTAAATCCTAGCTTAACGCACATGTCCATTTCGCAACGCAAAATTAATAACGCGCATACGTCGCGTTGGCCCAGCTCGCGGTAATTGTCACTGTTAATCGAGCGGCTCAGCTTGCATTTAAATCACTTCTTAATGAAGTGCACATGTAAGTTGCATAATTTTTCATCATTGTACCACACTAATACTCCAGAGTACTTTGACTTTAGTACTGACTAGGGAACGACATTAAATTGAACGGCAGGATTAAAGTGTATTTGTGAAATTGTATAGAATTTTTGATTTAATAATTTAAAGGAAGAATTCTGCTTCATTTATAATTAGCTACAGGAAATCTCCAATTTAAGTCTAAAATATAAAAAAAAATTAGTCAAATAAGTATGTTCAATCATATAAATATAAATAGTATTTTCTGTTTTGTTTTTAATAATTTAGTATAAATCATTTCCATCTAAAATTTCTTTCTCTACTGTCATTCATATCATGTGTTTACGTTATGCGATAACATGAATTTATTATTATTTTTTTTATTATTTCTGAGCAAAGTATAGAACAAGATTTCACTTTATGACTATTATTATTGCATTTAAAAAATATAGAAATAGACTCTCTAATTTTGTAGACCCTTTTAGTCTGTAGCGGTCCCAACTTTAGCTTTCAGTCCCCAGTTTCATATATCAATTTCAAGCATATTTCAAGTTCGGCTTCAACGCATTATTTATTTTTAAATTTTATCTTTTTCAACTGTGCGCGTTGGCTTTATTGTTAATCATTTAATTGCGTGCGCTTAAATTCTGTTATCATACAATTATTTAACTTGCCTGTAAATTGTGCAACGTGTCCCGCCCACAGACTCGCCCATAGCCACAGCCCGAGTCGAATTGTCTGTACGGGAAATCGTGTAAAATTTTCAAATTTAAAATAAATAAATTAATGCAAAAAGCTTTACTTATTTGCTAATCGAAGTGTTGTGCAAGTCATGAAATATTAAATGCAAATAAATAAATAAATATATATATATATACTTATACATATATAGGTAACCTGCATGCACTCAAAAGGCATGCACCATTAAGCAAGTATGACTCGCAGAATTTATAGTATTTTTAGTTGAAAATGAAAAATGTTATGGAAGCTGTGCAGGCACTGAAGATACACATGAGGTAAAATCAGTTAGCTGTCGGTGCATGCATAAAAGGCTCCTGCAACGGCTCCTGCAGCAACAACAAGTCAAAGCATTTGCCGAAAAACCCAAAGGTAAACTCTGTCAAACAGACAGACAGACAGACAGACACCCACAGGCAGACGGACGTAGCGACGGACAGCGAGGCAGGCAGACAGTTGGACTTGAACATGGAGCTCAGATAGGAGCCAACTGGCTTATTTATAAGAGCCAGAACGCAAGCACTTTGCCCACAGACTGAGGCGGGGCCAGGCAGAGCGCAATGGCATGAGCTGCTATTCCATATTTGGTAGGTGGCTGAGCTCTCCTATTCACCTTTTGAGTTAGCTGGCACGTTTTATAATATTTATGCATGCGCCTGCCAACTGGACCAGCACTCATGAGCTGCTGGCTAAGAGGAGGCTTGAAAAAATGCAGCAGCAGCAGCTGCAAGTGTGTGTGTGTGTGTGTGAGTGTCTGCTTGCCTTGTATATTGCCCAAAAGTAACACTCCACGTTCAAGTGGGGCATTTTCGGGGGCTCTACATATTCTAGTGGCAAGTTAGTAGGCTGCATACAGAAATTACATTTAAAACTATTTTGCTTGGCATGCAACTGAATAAATACGGTAGGCAGGCTAAGCAAACATGAAAACCAGATGAAAAGCTGCCTGTCTGGCTGACTAGCTAGCTGGCTGGCTGGTTGGATGGTTGGCTGGCTGCCTGTCGCAGGCAGCGGGAATAGCAACAGATGCCACAACAAATGCCATTTAAATGGATGAGCCAACAACAAGAGCAACATCAAGTATAACAACAAGTTGTGCACAAACAAGTGCAGGACACAACACACAGGACACGCATGAAAATGAAATCGCTCAGCCATGATATGAGATAGAATAAAATGTAAATGCCATACACATGCCCATGTTTTCTGCCTCTGTTTGTGTGTGCACAAACACCCACACAACAACAACAATAACAGCATCTACAGCAAACAAAAAACAAAAACAGAAAAATGAGTGAAAAGAGCAAAGGCACAGCCAGTTTACATGCTTTCATGCAGCTCAACATTTTTGACAGTGTATCAAGCCGTTGTCCTACAGTGGGTCAAATTAGCTAAGCTATTAACAAAACTTTCTAACTGCTATCGACAGTAGGCCGCATCTGCTTAGCTATGAGCAAAACTAACAGCAGCTGCTGTAAGACAACAAAATTGATCCATGGCTTGGCTTTTTAACAGCTTTCTGTTTCTTGGTCGTAAAAGCGAACTTGGTTTTTAGAAGCGAGCTCCCCTTCGGTCACGCCCCTGACTCGGTGCCGAACTGTTGCAATGGCCGTTTGTTTTGCTTATTCCCATTTGTTGCTTGCCTCCAGCTGCCCAAATTTATTATAGCAGCGGCAAGGAGCAAGGCAGCGCCAAAAGTTGCAACAACTTTTTTCATAGCCACTTCTTTGTTTTTCTTCTCTTTTCCTCTTCCTCTTCCACTTTCTCTCTATCTCTCTCTCGCTTGAACAGTTTTGCATTTGTCGTTTGTATTTTGGCCTTTTGTCACAAAGCTTTAACACATAAAAATGTTATTGCCCGATATGTAGTTGTAGCTTATGCTTATGTTGCGACTCTAAGGCTTATTTAGGAGCAGTCCGTATCTCAGACTATGCAAATTCTAAACATCCGAATCAACTTTGTGTTTCTCTTGTTGATTTTTTTTTTTTCCAACTGCCTCCCAATAATTGTTAATTCCTTTAGGGACGATTCCTAAAGTAGCTTAAAATTAACAGCAATCAAAAAGTTGCAGCTTAAGTGCAAGTTTAAGTGCTGTTTTTACAGCTTGTCTAAATAAATTGCTTAAAATATTTTAAATCAATAAGCTACATTCCTAAAAATATATTTAAAAAAATTGTTAAATTTATTAGAGATTAAATTTGTTTTGAATATAGATATTATTTTAACATGTAGCTATTATTCTATTATTTAATTTTTTTGTTTTCATTATCTATGCTTCCATATTTTATATTCTATATTACGTTAATGAACAACAAAAGAAAAGATTTTTGTTGCTGCGAAAAGCTATTCATATTTTTCATTAAAAATCATAATAGAGATTCCATGAAAACAGGAAACGTAATCCTTAGACACATGCAGTTTGAAATTTAATCAGTTTGCTGTTATTCTCGTAATAAAATGA